TGCTGGCTGCAGCAGCCCTGCTGCCTCGTCCCCTCCCACCGCCAGTGATTTTGCTTCTCCAGCGTCTTCCCGTGCCAGCACATCCCGCTGCGCTCGCGTGACAGACCCCAGCAAGGGGAATCAAACGAGCTGCTTGTGAGCTCATGCAACTCAAAAGCCATCTCCACCCTAGGATGGATTTAAAGCACAGTCATCATTTTCAAGTGGGAATAAAAATACAGCTTCTGTCTGCAGCATTTTCTGTATCAGTTTAAAAAAAAAAAAAACCAAAACCTAACACTTTTAAATACTAAATAAGCTATTTTCCTTAGGCATATCTGCTGCAACATCAAATCCCAGCCCCTTTGTCAGATCTGGTTTCATGGATCAGCTCCCTGGTCAGGTCTGTGAAGGGTTTCAAGGTGATTTGAGCCATGGGCATCAGTTCAGCGGTTCCCCAGGGAGGGTCCCAGTGCGGTGCCGGAGTTGGGGCACAGGGACGGGGCGATGCCGGGGCAGAGGCAGCAGGGCCTCGGGGTTGTGGGGAGCAGCTCGTCTGCTGGTTCAGGGAGGTTGGGAGACTGGGGGGGAGCCGGTGCCGGCGTGGTTTGTAGCTTCCAGAGGGATTCATGGCACAGCCTGGGAGTCAAGCTCATCCCGAAGCACAGAGCTTGACACCGCATGCTGCTCTGTTCAAAAACCATCTGTTTGTATTTACAGTAAGATCTTCAGGGTGGTAGCACATCTATAACCTCTTCCCATGTAGATAAAGCATCCCACTGTTGCAATTTGATCAACTATTTTCAATGAGTTTAGTACAAAGTCTGGTGCAGTAGCATTATCTGTACCCCTGAGGGCCTTCAGGCCGGCCCAGGAGGTCTGCGAGGGATTAAACCACCACCCGCACGTCCACAGCGGAGGGTGAGGGGGTGAAATGACAGACGTCAGCAGTTGCTGAATGATATTTGTGCTTTTTAAGTGTCTGAGGGCTTTTAAAACTTCAAAGAAACAAAACGGTCTCCACTGGAAGCAGCTAATGTAAATGATGGGAGTGTGATCATGCCAAGAGATAACACTGAGCAAACCGAGAGGGTTTTTTACTTAAACCCTTCCGCAGCCGTGCTTGGGGAACTCCTCCTCTGCCGCTTCATGGGATTTCTTTTAAAATACGCTGTGAAGACATCTAGATTTTGTATGGTTGTTTTCATTTGCAGCGTGCCGTATGATCTCAAAAACAAATTGAATTCAACTTCTGTGATCCACAGCTCAGATCTTCCACAGCTTGCCACATCAGCTTAAATACATGTGTTGAATGTCAAGTACAATACATGTATTGCAGTGGGAAGGTGTGTTCAGAGCTGCCATAGCGGGTCCAGGTCTGAAATCATGTCCCACGGAGGTAGCTCCATCCATGTCACTTAGCCCTAACTTGAAGCAATTATGTTCTAAAATTCAAAGTTTGTAGCTAAAACACGCAGTGTGACTAACCTCCCCCTGAGTGGGAATCACCTGCTGTCTTTGTGGCCACCTTCTGAAAGTTTTTAATTAAGAAACCATTTCGGTGGTAAAGTGGGAAGATCCAGCAACTGTCTCTGCCAGCACAAAGTGCTTCCATCGCTTTTTAAAATTTTTTTTATAGATTTATGCGTATCATCTCCCAATTACAGATCTCATAGGCAGAACGCACCATATGAGTTGATCTTTCCAATAGCATCTTTACACCGGATCTGTGCATAGTTGTTACTCTTTTTAGGTGTGCGTTCCCTAGATGCCTTGTGCCAAATGGAAAGAACGGCAAATACCCTCTCCCTCCATGCCCAAATGTTCCTGAAAAAGTTTCAGGGCTGGTTAAGGTTTAGTTGTACATTTTATTATAATCTGATGCGTAAAAAAATGGGAAAAGTAACACAATCAATATCCATGGTTTTAGGTATTAGCGTTGCACCAGCATACACGATCTGTTGGGGAGGTATCTCTTGCACTCCTTGTTAACTTTACATTGCTTGCAACACCGCTTTTCCTTGTGAAAAGAGAAAATGTTTTAATTGCCATACAGGAAAATCCTATCAGCAATCTGGTTTCATTTATATACTGTAGAAGAGTTGAAATAACTTTTTCTGGATTGATTTAACACTTCTAAATGCCAAGATTTTTTTTGTGCTCATTGGATTGAACAGGTGAACAGACATATTAAATACTATATATTGAACAGACATACAATACTGTGTCACAGGGGTAGCTGCCTTGGAACGCGTACCGTTCTGCCTGTGGCAGGGCCTTTAATTATGGTGACTTTAAGCAAGAAATTTCATTTCTCCAGCTACACTTTCCCTAGCTGTAAACGACTTTTTCCTGTAAAATTCTCTGAACTCCTTTGGTGGAAAATGCTATGAATGAGCCAGATGCTTTTAACAACAAACCTGTGGGTAATAAACAAGCTTATATTATTTTCACCTTTTGCAATGAAAAGATTTCCAAAGAAGATTAAACAGCAATTTCTGAACTATAGTTTTACTGTTAGCATTGATGTTTATGTTCTTTCCCTGTGTTTCTCCTTTATAGTACGCTTCGCACCTTACAGACCTCCCGACATCTCTCTGAAACCACTGCTCTTCGAGGTGCCCAGCATCACCACCGAGTCCGTCTTCGTTGGCCGGGACTGGGTGTTCCACGAGATAGATGCGCAGCTGCAGAGTTCAAACGCCAGCGTCAACCGAGGTGTAGTGATCGTTGGGAACATCGGGTTTGGAAAAACCGCCATCATCTCCAGACTGGTTGCACTCAGCTGCCATGGCACACGTATGAGACAGATTGCTTCTGATAGCCCACATGCCTCTCCGAAACGTAAGTACAGCAGTACACAGATCTTCAACAATCAGAGACCTTTTCCATCAACTTTTATAATGGTTTTGGCTGAAAAGATCACATTCCTCTCCAGGCCCAAGAAATCAGCTTAGTCTTTGTTGGCAAGCAAAGGAAGCACCTGTCAGCAATATTTATACTGCTCCTGTTCCAAATCTGCTTTTTGAAGAGTCAGAATAGTCTGTCTCTTATTTCTCTGACTTAGAAACATCACAGATTTTCTCTGATTGGGAAGACTCCAATTTTAAATGCCAATATTCTATTATTATGAATCCATGCGGGTGCATTCTCCTTCCCATACAGTTTGTTTATCTCAGTTTATCATGGTATAAATGTTTAGGGTGGGTCGCAAGCCCATGTAGGCTCGGCACCCAGGATTGCTCTACCTCTTGTGGTCCCATCCAATTCACATCACTCTGTGCTGACATGTTTGCAGGTGGGGATGACAACATTTTAAAATCATCAACTCTCAGTAAGTGAATAATACTGGGTGAGATACCTAAAGGTATCTTTAAGGATCTAGGTCATTGTATCTCAGTGAAACCGTAGTTAAATCTGTTTACTGGAATCCAGTACTCTTAGCCATGTTGAAGTATCTGAAATGTCACCAAATGTTGGCATGTGGAATAGTGTCACTTGTCAGAGCTAAATGAACAATGCGTAGCGGAAGGCAGGGCTTGTTTCTATATTTTAACTGCAGCTCTGCAGTGCACCAACTGTATGTCTCCCCAGTCTGCTTAGAGGGATTGTGGAGATTAAAGAGGCTACTGTAATTAACTGTTCCCAGACCAAAAGCTTGATATTTCAAATGAGAAAGTGCCCTGCATCTTTCACGCACAAAGGACGAGGATCCTTGGTCACACCTAACATGCTGTTGTTTAGCTGGCACTCTGGTTCGTCCATGAGGTTGAAAGCTGAATGATTCCTCAGTGTTAGTTATTGGGATGGAGATACAATCAACTACGTTGACCTTATTTCCTAAAGAGATCACAAGTCCTAGTCTAGCTATAGAAGATAATAATTATTCTGCAAATTTCTTTGATTTTTTTTTTTCACATGCTGAAAGAAAATATCTGTTATGCTTAGTAAGATCTATGTTTGATAATAAATGCTAAACAGCTGACCTGACTATACTACAGCAGTTGTGCTATCGGCATTAGTAAACTGGCATAAATACAGCCTCATACTCTTAATTACTGACTCGCAAAAATAATACAGGTGAAGGTGGTGTTGCATGCTCAAAATCAAGAATGTGCATCATTACTAACACATTCAGGGTTTAATTACGTAGGCAGTAGGCATCCTCCTATGTTGTTTGCCATTAAATGGGTCATTGTTTGCATTATGATTTCAAGTCAAGCTCAAGGATGCATTGCAGCAGTCCGTTCAGGAAAATCCTCTGCTAGTACAGACTGCACTTAAGAGGACTGTTGCTTTTAAAATGTTCCTAAAATAAAGAAATCAGTAATTAGACATCATCAAGTACTGCATGTCTCGGTGTCATTCAAAAATATTCTGTACGAGTACCTATGAGTGAAAATAAGAGTGGTTTGAAAATGTTATCCACAAAGGCCAGGTGAACGGACTCCTGTAGCAATCTACTGGTAAAGCCAATTTCTGCTTTGCCAGGCAAAAGAAACAGCTAAAACGCAATAGAAGGCAGTTAAACTTCACAGAGATGATTCCAGTATAATTCATGATTTGCTTGCAAGCCTTTTCCAGATCCTGGTGCTACTCGTGCTTCTCTCCCTCTGATTACATTAATGGGTTTCAGAAGGATATGTTAGCTGTGGCTCTCCATTTATTTATGTTATAAAATAGGCACATAATTCAGAAAAATTGGCTGTCTCTACTGAGGAAGGATTCGGAACCAAATTAACCAGCGATTGTTCATAGCGAGAGAAGATCTATTGGCAGAACTGCAGAGTAGGAGAGCACTGCACTAAAATATGCCAAACTTGAAGATAGAGCATACCTTCGAGAGTGCACAATTCGCTCAATTATTGTGATTATTTTAAAGTCAGTGAAACCACAGTGGAGAAGATGAATAAGACAAGCTCAATGCTTTATCTTAGGGGTCCTTCCCAAAAGTGCTCCTTCCAAAAGAAGTTTCTTGGGGAGCCTCTGGCCTGGCTGGACGGTGTCACAATCTCTTGCTGCCTGAAATCCTAACCAGAGTATTTGTGGAAAGTATTTTAACTGCCGTGCGTGACCTGCTAGAAAACGGCAGCTGCCTAGTCTGTAATAATAATGTCGGTCACGCTTGTCCTGTAGCAATTCATAACCTCTTTCCTTGGGACAGATGTGGATGCAAACCGAGAGCTGCCCTTAACCCAGCCGCCTTCTGCTCACTCGTCAATCACCAGCGGGAGCTGCCCGGGGACTCCCGAAATGCGCCGGCGCCAGGAAGAGGCCATGCGGAGACTCGCTTCACAGGTACGGAAACATTCGTCTCGGGATTTGTTCGGTTCTTGGGAAAATGTCAATTTTAATGGAACCTCTTGGAAGGTCTCTTGCCTTACATCACTTGGTGCACTGGAAAATGTGTGCGTTCAAGTGCTTACTGGGAGGGTCTAGAGAAAAACTTCTGGAACAAGTTTTATTACCCTAGGAAAGTTATTTCCGTAAAATGTAATTCCTATTACATCAAATGCACTCCCTTTCTGCTCTGAGAGTTTATCTTTCCCAGCCGCTGTACTTTACCCTTACAAATGTTATGGTATGACATAGTTACCAGAATAATTGTAATTTTTCTTCAACAGTGAAAACAAAATTGCCAAGTGTTTGACCGGTGTTTCATTTTGAAAAGAGCAGGTATCATGCGGTGGGTAAAGGCGCAGACCGTGAGCATTACTGCTGTGTGTGCGCTTAGGCGTTTTTTGGAAAAGTCTACAAAACAGATCATGGCCTTTTGAGCGATACACAAATCGTTTGCTGTTATGGCAAGAGTGGATTGTATATAACACTATCACTTACTGTAGGTGAGATTTACAGCTTGAATTTTATTGTATTACTGAGATTTAGCCCTACTTTTGTGGTGGTGGGAAGGTGCCATTATATTGCTTTGAAATCCGAGGAGCTTGCTCCTCCTACACCTTTTGAGAGGATGTGAGCAGTTAATGCTTTCCTGTTGCCTGCTCCCACTTTGGAGAGGAAAATATCAAGCAAAGTCTTTGTTCTAAATTATTGCCAGGACATGTTTTCCTTGGCTTTTTGTGCCAGATACTCTCCTGTCCTGTCCTATCTGCTTTCTGCTGCACCCAGATGGCAAGGCAGAGAGCGTGTGATAGCTGCGTAAATAAATATTAAAACTTGATACTCTCCTCTTGCACGTGGAGTTCTTGAAAGGAACACAATGGCCAGGTCTGCTTTTGTTCAGGACGCATTAGTCATCGTACTCCTTGCAAATCTTAAGCATTACAGACTGCTAGAAAGGCCAGTAAAGTGTGTTGTCTGTGCTTAAAATACCTCGTCTATCTCGACTTTTTTCCCCTGAGTGCTTAAGTAATCCTGCTGGATACATAATTGATAAATGGATACAGCTTTAGCTTCAGTTTCCGCCTGAAAAAGGTAAGGGATAGGACTCTTTCAAACAAGGTGTCACATCCACTGCACAGGTCATGCACTGAAGCTTTTTTTGCACCTCTGATCACTGGAGAGCAAGAAACAATTTTTATAGCCAAAAATAAAGTAAAAATAGGTTGTTATACCTTGGCTGCAGACCCCTTTAGGGAAAGGGTTTTAAAGCCCTGCTCATCCCCTAGCCAAAACTTTTTTGCAGAACAAATCCTGTGTTTTGCAGTCAGAACATAACAAACGAGTTAGGAAGATGTACTACCTCCTGTGCTAGCAGCAGGATTACAGATATTTAGTATGATTGTTAGTCTCCCAATAAATCTCAACTACTGTAAATGTAGGCAGATTCCAGAAATAACTGTCACCAGCTTCCAAATGTTAAGCCTTCATGAAAAGATCAATGCCAAGGCTGATGAGTTGACCTTACAGTACTTGGAATCGCTTCTTCTACGCGAATAGCTGACACAGCATGCGAAACTTCTGAAAAGCTTCGTACTGTTTAGCAAACAGTTCCTGGGATGAGTCAGAGCAGCAGCGGCACGGCTTGATTCAGCATTCGGAGACCTTGGGTCTATTCCCAGTTTTGCCGTTAGCCTTGTTGGGATCCTTGGAGACCAGCATCTCATCTGCTTGCCTCCATTTCCCTGCCTATTAAAAGAAAAGTGATCCATGCAGATAATGGTCCTTTGATATCTGATACCGGAAGGAATACGTAACTAGGTGTTATTTGGTTTTCTCAATGCGGAAGAGCAGTTGTCTTCCAGGTAGTGCTGCAAGTGTGTTCCTGGATGAAGCCATGCATTGTAATAAAGCATGTGCTTAAATCCTGGTTCAGAGGTTCATTTCCTACCACAAAGGGAAATTTTTCTGAAAGTGTAGGAGGTTTTTTTGTTTGTTTGATTTTTGATTTTTTTTTTTCTTTTTTTTGAGCACCATGTTCCTGCTGGTGATTCTTGATCATAAACAACAATTCTGTTTTTATTGCATCAGAGTCTTTTCCAGAACTACTGTGCAGCATATTACAAACAGTAAGTTTGATGGATTATCAAGCCTCAGGAAGGGAAATAAAGGGAAATAAAATGGTTTAGGATGTTTGTCAAATTGATAGCTGGAAGTCGTGTGCCTAGTGCACTCTTAGTAACCTCCTGAGTAGTACAACTCAGCATCACCGCTGATGAATACTTGCTGTCAACAGCAGATAAATTGATTTGCTTAGAAAGAACCATGCTGTATGATGTCCTCCTAGATAAAACAAACACTGACTGTTCCACCCCAGCTGTGGTTTTTGAAGTCTCTGAGTGACACTGGGAGGAAAAGGATTACTGACCTGGCAACAGAATTGAAAATCCATTAAAATAACAGTGTTGAGCTCTTTGTTCTGTGTGCAATCGCCTCATTCAGAAACTCGATCACACGCATCTAACTTGCCTTTGAGAGATCACGAGGATTTGTTGTTCATAAGAGGCTTTGAAGATGCTGAACTCTTAAACAGAGCAAATATGCTGAATGTCTTGGTAGACAATAGTAAAAATAGTTGGTTAAACTAATTTAGCTGCCTAATCTGAATGTCTGATGCCACATTCTCCAACAGGCGTTCTTGGGGACAGCTTAGGAAAACCCTTCACATCAGTAAGCTAAAGGCTCTCCAAAGTCTAGTCTAAAAAAAGAAGAAGAAAAAAAAAAAAGTGGAATGTCCTTTGGTGCAGGAGGAGGGGAGAGAAGAGCAGCATATTCCTGTATCAGTAGCTGTGAAATAAAAAAAGAATTGTTGATGGCCTACTTAAAACAGTTTTTGTTCAACTAGCTGAAGAAAAAAGAGCCGAAGGAAGTGAAGGAAAGACTGACCCGTAGGTTAGTCTGGTTGGAAAAGTACATCTTGGACGTGTGTGTGTGTTACAGTTGTGTTAAGACTAGAGTCAGAATTGAAGTAGGGAAGAAAGTGTTGACAGTGATGGACAACCACAATTGTCAGGAATATTTTAGGAGATATGTGAAACATATGTGAGGAGCTAGATAAAGCTATGTGCAGATGTTCCACCTCTGCTTGCACCGAGCAGAGCAGGATGTTCTTGGGTTGTGCTGTGGTCATTGTGCTAGAGAAATGCAGGTCATTATGCAAGCGGATTAATAATACACTAACAAGCTTAAGTCATGGTTGGCGCAGGCTGCAGAATGCTAGTGGGAAGCACGCCGTCCCTCTCACCCACTCCGTTCCTTCTGAAAATGTCACTTATCCCGAAACTCAGAAGTTGTGTGTTTATGATGACAGAAATGAAAGGTGAACAGTTGCTTTTCCTCCTCTAGATTATTCAGGGTTGTACTTTTCTGCCTGTTTTTCGTGCAGTAAGTTCTTGGGGGCAAGGGTTGCTTTTTAGCTCTTGTTGTCAGAGATGAACAAATAATTAATTTTAGAAATAAGTAACGGACGACTGCCTAGCAGGAGCTCCACTCAGTCTTGCCATACTGGAAAAGAGCATTATTTTGTTGTATTCTTCGGGAGCAGTTTGAAGTCATCCATGATTTCTAGTTCAGTGTTCATCAGCAAACTAGTGGAGAAGAAAAATGCTTAGAAATGAGGCAATTTAGAAAACCAGTATCAGGCGTGATTTTTGTCCTGCAAAAACTGCGCCAGGAAATAAGCTGTATCCAGCTGGTTTAGGAGTTACCTGAATTTATCCTCACGGGTGGGTCCTAGGAGGAGAAAAACATCAAAACCAGGGCAAAGTTCCCTTCCTCCCAGACCCTGATGGGCAGCTGTTGAGGTTTCTCATGTCTCCGTCCCTCTCTTTGGTCGGAAATGGAGTCTTTTGCCATATGAGTACTGATCATGGTAGGAAGGGTTGGGTACTTTTCAGGGTTTGCAGTAGTTTCTCCTGGAAGAATGAGAGAAAACAAGGAGGTTAAAATTGCGATTGCTCTGTTCCTTTTGTCATTTCTCTTCCTAACAGCCCATCTTACTGAGATTTCATAAGTGGAAGCCGTGTGATTCTGCCTTGAGAGACTAGCAGAGAAAATACTGGAAGTACAATAATGCCTGTGTATAACTTACCTGGAGCATTCCCCCAGTCTGCTCTGACTGTCCTGTTCCAGCTCCTGGTGATCATTTTGGATGTGTCGAGGAACAATATTTTTAAAAGAGAAAGATCAAAGTCTTGCTGTCACACCAGGGTCACGTTCAAGGTTGTGTTGGCATTGTGTTGAGGGCTGTTATTTAGACAGGGAAAGGAGCCTGCCAGGAAACTTGAGGCATCAAGAGGTGAATGCCTTGCCTTTCATTTCCTTGCAAGGAAAATATTAAGTATATGGCAAAGTTAATAGCTTCTTAGCAGAGATTTCTGTGAATCAATTTCCTAATTTTAAAGGTAATATTAATCCTCTTGCTGGGAACTGAGCTGGCACAAGCCCCTTTTTTCTCTTTCACTCACTGTCTTCTCCTGCCTCTGAGGAGCTGAGGCAGTGACTGCTGATGGACCTTCCACCGTGGTGAGGAGCACGGGGACGTGTGTCAGACCCCAGCTCTCAGCAGTGGAGTTCGGAGCTGTCCTTGCTGGGGAAGTTTATCTGCAGCTTTTCCTCCATCCCCTGTCTCAGTAGGGTTTGTACGTTAGCATGGAGTAGAGAGACCTGCAGGGAAGGAGGACAGGAGAAGTTGTCTTGCCAGATCTGGCAAACTCTGGAAAGTCATGAATAAAACTACTCACATTGGAACACCCATCTTGACACTTGCAAATAAAACATAAGCATTTCTGGCAAAACTGCTTGGTTAGTCTTTTGTTTTAATATATATGCATGTATTATGGAAATAAGTTTGCAGGATTCCTGAATTTATTTCAAGTCTGCCCCCCGACAATGAGCAGGCT